TTTACGCTGGCTGTTAGAATCCGTCTTTTCTAGTGAGATACAAGTTCATTTCTTATGAAGTCGCCGCAATATTTTTTAAGACACGTCGCTCCAAAATAAAATAAAAAATAAGTAGTAATTTGACAAGCTTCTAAAGGGTAAACAACGTTTTTTGCACTTTTTTCAAACACCTACCAACCAGAGAGGTCGAAAAATATCAACGAACGTTGTATTCTTCCCACTGTACACGTTCAAAACATAAAACTCTGCACATCCGCTCAGAAAGCATGAAAAGGCTAGCTGTTGGTTTTTAGAGGCTGAATTCTATTCCTTTCAATATATCATGTGACTCGTCATTCTGCAGTTCTGAAAACAAACTCAAGAAAGTCTCTTTTATCGTTACCAAACTGGCAATTGAACATTTGCTGATCGCGAATTCCCAAAGATCTTTAGGTTCTCATTCTGGAGTTTTAGTGTTTCATAACAGTAGCACAGTAGTTCTCATTTTCCGAGTCAGCTGTCACGGATCCCGTAACGTTCAGTTTCAAACTGTCCTCAATTCTACTATGGGATAAGAGGGGATTTGGGAAGATATCTATTATGAAATTTCTTTGGGAATAATCGAAATACAACGAGCTCTTACTACATTGTTACTGATGGAAACACGTAACGCATAACGAATTTCTGAAATATATCCTTTGCCAGACACGTATTCATCGTAATAGCGTCCAACGTAGCGAACCCTTCGTCACGATTCTGTGTAGCCGAGAATTTTGCCCGCTTCCGCATGATGTAAAGTATGAGCGATAAAAATACAGGCTTTATGGAAATAATAGTCCCAGCGGTTCATCCACTTGATTATTTTGTAGCCTGATGCGCCACAATGTTAGCGGTCTAGTATATATAGCTTTCGCTCATTCGACCACAAATGGGCATTCATGGACAGCTGTTTCGTGCTATTTGTTAACTCTTCAGCATGGTGTAGGCTTAGTCCCGGTGGACAACGAACGAAACCTAAGCAACTCTACCCCTTCCGGAGTATAAGGTCTATCAAAATAAGACAGCATAGAGTGCCACCTATTACCAGAATCCACCACTTTGAAAGTGAAGACAGGTATGTTAGACCTGTATGCCAGTTCGCGTTGTCAGCCGGGTCACTACCGTCGTCACCAGATGCCGCTGATTCTGGTGCTGTGGTAAATAAGGACTACACACCATTGAATAATTAGTTGATACAAGACGAATAGTTCAAACGCACTTATCTCAAAACAATTTATTTGTACTTAAACTAGTCTGGCTCTGAGATACGGATTTGTGGATCGAATATTTTCAACGTATAGGTATGGGATACTTGAAAATAGACGAATATGAATGCATGAGATGTAATGAGTAGGTTACAGAAATAATCAAAGCCAAGAATAAATAGAAATGTTTTAGGAATACTTTGAACAAAAAACAAATCGTATTGAGATGGTTGATCCAACTTTTCGAAAACCAAATTTTGCAAATAGCACCCGTATTCTTAAATACCGTAAGGCTGGAATAAAGAACCCCTGCGTTTCACGGTGAATAATGGAGGGTTTTTATTCAAATGGGATGCGTGCAGCTTTACAAATCATCTTTGGGATGAAATATAAAATTAATATTGGCAGCCACTAGGGAGGCAGAAAGAAGCCCTATATTGAAAAAATCACAATACCTTTATATATACTGGAAATTATTATTAGGGCCTCGCTACAATGTGAGTTCAAGTAGAGTACTTCAGTACTCTAAATTTCTATAGAATATATTGTATTTCTTACTATTGGCAATATTAAACCGACAAGTGGGAAAAGTGCATCAGACTGCAATATAAGATCGAACGGATGTAAACAACCGAGTGACTTGAGAACCATGAGAATTTAATCAGATGTCAACCCATCTGTCAAGTCTGATTGACTGCAGCTGATCTGAAAGAGATCTGTTTTTATCTTTTACCCCATCAACATGTATATCTCATATACGAAATGTATCTGCAACTCAGTATTTTCAGAGGATTATGTATGAATCCACAGGCTACAGTTCTTAGACTTTGATTCTAACCATTACCTTGATCTAGATAAGTGTTCGAGTGGTTTACATTTGGTTTAAAATCATAAGGAACTTTAGATCAAATAAAATAAGAAGACAACACAAAGTGCTATTACCAAAATCGACCACTGCCAGATCACCACTGTTGCATCTGGATATCGCCGATTCTGGTGCTGTAGCTGATACGGTTCACTCACCATTGAACATAGCCTTCCTTTAGCCGAGCACAGACGACCAATCACTGCAAGTAGACCGTATCTACTATAGCACCAGAGTCGGCAGCATGTGACGGCCACAGTGGTGACCCAACTGTCAAAAGCTAACTGGGGTACAGACAACTGGGCTGTTTTTACTCGCACAGTGATCGATTTTGGTAATAGATGGCACCCTGTGTCCTGTATAAAGGATAAGTTGTCTAGCTTTCGTTCGTTGACCTAGACCATGACCACTAATTAAGCCAAATACTACAGACTCAAACTAGTCATTCTTTACCACGATTTAGTGAATCAAGCGCATCAACTTTTGGTATTTGGAATATAAAGAAGAAATTCGGGAATATCGGTTAGAGCAGGAGATGTATGCTCGTTTTGTTTTTCGAGAACAATCGAGAAAATCTGTGTTGAAACGAGTCGATTTTTATAGAACGCGGATTTTCTAACGACCAAACATGTTCATTATAAGAATTATAGGTTCCACTTCTCGTAAAAAGCGATTCATTTGACCACAAAACCAAATCAATAGAATCGGCATTTTGATTACGCACTCACAAGAATTTCGCCGTCGCACTTCGTCGCCGATTACAAAAAAAAATGGTAGTAGTAACGACAACTGTATAATACAACTTTGACAAACTGTCTCCCAAGAAACGACAAGCTGATGTCAAGGCATCCTATTTTATTTTGAAACTAATTGTATCTCGGCTCATGAATTTGTTTTATTTTTAAGAAAACAGTGCACTCGAGGAAAAAAGACAAATTGGAGGTAAAATTCGAAAAACTGCGTATTTCTAAAAAAAGTGGCGTACTATTTTTATTTGGAAAAATAATGCCACTAATTCCCTGTATCTCCGCCATCTCCACGACTTGCGAGTCACCATGTATATTCGAATATGTTTAACTATTTTCAATGCAGTGTTTGTTGCCATTGAACCCTTATATTACATATTCTCACTTTCCTGTTAATATGACTCAAAAAATAAACGTGTTGTGATGTAATTTTACGGATGTATACTTAGATAGTAATAGCATTGACATATCATACAGGGTGGCCCATAAGTCGTTTGAGCTGGAAAAAAAGGAATAAAACCAAACTAGTTACATTATGAAGAATTATTATATTTTGTTATCATCTTTATTGAATGGGAATTATGTTTTAAAAATCACATCGTCTAAATGCAATCCATTACGATCACGGCACTCATATAAACGACGTCTAAAATTGTCGATGACTGCGCGGCAAGTCAACACTGTAATGCTTGCCATTTCTCTTCGGATATTTTCTTTCAGGACATCAACTGATCGCGGAGTGGTGTCGTACACTTTACTCTTGAGGTAGCCCCATAAAAAGAAGTCCATTGGGGTCAAATCTGGACTACGTGGTGGCCAGGAAATGTCTCCTCTTCGAGAAATTACTTTGCTGGGAAAAAGTTGACGGACGACGGGCATAGAAGTGTTGGAGGTGTGGGCAGTTGCTCCGTCCTGTTGAAACCAGGTCTGCGTATTATAGCCTGGAAAATTCTGCAACGCTGGTGTCAAAAACTCTTCTATCATTGCTACATACCGCTCCGAAGTAACAGTTAATGCGCGACCTCTGTCGTCCTCAAAAAATAAGGCCTACGATGCCATGCGCTGACATAGCAGCCCAAACTGTAACTTTAGGGCTGTGTAGGGGCTTCTGATGCTTACGCCTTGGATTTTCGGGGCTCCAATAACGGCAATTTTGTTTATTTACATGCCCGTCTAAATGGAAGTGAGCCTCGTCCGAGAACAACACATTATTGAGCGAAGAAAATCGATTCAACATTTCATTCGCAAAGTTTAGTCTCTGAATAGCATCATTATCTTTTAATTCCTGCACAAACTGAATTTTGTAAGCGTGCAGACGTAAATCTTTCCTTAAAATCCGCTGTAAAGACGTTCTGGGTACGTTTAGTGCACTGGAACGCTTACGAGTAGTCTGGGTAGGATTTTGACGAACAGACTGTGCCACAATGTTGATGTTTTCTTCAATACGAGTTGTCCTTGGTCGGCCCCACCGCTGTTTATCTAACGTCGAACCAGTCTCTTCGAACTTAGCAACCCAGTTCTTAATCGTTTGAGCTGTTGGACACTTTGTAAAATTGTGTAAATTGTGGTATTCTCGATATTTACGCCGCGCAATGGTTGCCGAATCATTATTTTGATAAAGCGCGCGCACACAAAAAGCACGATCCGCTCCAGTGAAACACTCCATGGCGACTGAATTCCCAGACACTGAAGATACTGCCCCCGCCTCGCCCGCGCCGCTCACGCTCACCCGTTAAATTTTATTCAAATTTGAAATTTCAAAGGACTTATGGACCACCCTGTATTATATCCATTTGCAGATCTCCTGTCAGAATTGAAAAACGTCATCATCACGATCTATAATAAGAATCCCCCGAATGCCCTCCAGTGTACAAGCCTTCTCCACCCATCACAATAATTGATGCTTCTTTCATATATGACGCCTGTGGCAGGCATATGAAAAAAGAGAAAACACACAAATATCCTAGGGATAGCCTGGCATATAATAAAGCCTTTCAAGAACATCTGGCACGTTACCATCCTCGCTGCTGACACCTTATTAAATTAAAAATACATTTTCGATTATACCCATCCCCGTTTTTCCGACGAAGAATAACAAGTACTTATAAGGGTGCATTGTTGGCAACGAAATTTATTACCCACAGGGTTTTCCTTTTATTTAGTAGTGTTCAGTGTTCGGTTGCCCGGGGCAGCATGCTGCGAACGTAGAGTCTATAATGATTGACGCCCCTTAACGGTAGGGTGGGATGCTTGGGCTCCATAGGATGAAAGTCATACTTTGTAAAGCTTTTTCGTGTTCTTCATTTGGACATGTTTTTTGTTTGCTCCTACCGCCATATGTACAGCGTTCAATGTATTAAGCAGCAACTGTGGATGAAGTAGGCTGTACCTTGTATGCTATGATCTTCTGTCCGCTTCAGAAACCCTGAAAAAATATACGTTTGTTGATTGCAGTACATTTTAAAACTAAAACAAAAGAAGTCAAGTAGGTTTACGCTGCAATTTCCACTCAACGCCGTCATCATAAACAATTACTTTCGATACGTTTTAGCTTTTTTGAGAAAAAGTTTAGCTACGAAGATATATATTAAAACATGTATAACAAAATTAACTAAATAAATGGACCAAGTCAGTGAAACAGACCTATCCAGTTAGTCCATAGTCTCTATCCAGTTGACAACGTTCCGATCGAGAAGTTTCTCCCCTGCCCTACTTCCGACATTACTGACCATCAGACAATGTTGGTTGTTGCTGATGAAGGTATATCTACGGTCGTTTTCAGTGCAAATGTATGGGGAAATATATGGTGTTCGAAATATGTCTAGCGGGTGCTTAGAATTACCGGAGCAACAGGCTAGTAAAGATACTAACGCTAAGAAAATTAGACATACCCTCCCCCTCCCCCACAAACCCATCGCCTACAAAAGATCAGGAGCCTCTGAAACCTTGAAGGACTTGAAACTCTTGATTTTTCGAAAACAAGAGTCTCAAGAGAACATAGCAAACCCTATATCGATACTCGCTTAACGACATCGATAGAACTGTGCGAGGTAAAGGTAACCAACCCGGCGTTCCCAGAGACTGAAACACATGAGGAGACGTTGTAGCAGACCGCAGGTATCGCACAACACATGGTCTACGAGACGCTGATGAGTCGGGCCACGCGGAGGTTAGGGTTCAGTGGGTATTAGGTGGTCTCCTCAAGACAACCTGGAGTCCCACACAAGCCGTAGCTCAGGCTATGGTATGGTGCATAAAAGCATTCCCCCCACACAAAAAAAAAAACCTTGAAAAAAGCTTCAGCTGTGCTTATATGCCTGTACTTTCGTTGCCACTGGATCGATTTTCAAAACCGTATATCTTTTTCCTCGTTTTGTCCTAGTTGTCACTTTATGTCAAAACCTCATCAGCATCCAACCGGTACTTTCCAATCTATAGGTGCCCAAGGATTAGCGGGCAGACAGACAATTAGACAGACGGACAGACCAGCGGAGTGCCATATTCGTTCGGGATGTGCTTATCATTCAACATCCAAAAATTGTTTTATCTCACTGTCGAAACTTTATACGATTACAATACTTCCTCACCAATTGGCGTGGGTAGGAAAAACAAATGATCTAATTAGACTGATTTATTTATGATGACCGCTGAAGAAATTTTGGACATAGTTACCTCTATCAAGTCACCTGCTACAGGGAGTGATGAAATTAATTTGAACATGCTAGGATACTGCTTACTAGAAATTTTATTGTATTTAACACATATTGTTAATATATGCCTTGAGACCGGGACTTTTCCTGATGCTTGGAAGGAAGCTATTATCATCCCTATAGCCAAAGTCAAAAATCCAACCACTCATAGTCATTTGCGGCCTGTTAGTTTGCTGTGCTTTTGTTCGAAGGTATTAGAGAAAGCAGTGTACATTCAACTAGTGGAGTATTTAGAGCAAAATAACTTGTTTTCTCCTCATCAATCAGGATTTCGTGCGGGACATAGCACTACTTCAGCTTTGCTCCATCTAACTGACAACATCGTAGGTAACTTAGACAGACATATTAATACCATATTAGTGATGATTGATTTCTCAAAAGCCTTTGATACAGTTAATCACAAAATCATGTTGAGCAAGCTGAAGTACATTGGATTATCTGATATACCGCTAAGATTTTTCCAAAGCTACTTGGCAGAAAGAAAACAATTAGTTAAGACGGTTAGGGGCGTCTCTTCTAGTACTGTGGTTTCGTCTGGCGTTCCGCAGGGGTCAGTTCTGGGACCCCTGCTATATTTAATTTACACTATAGACTTAGATTCATGTGTGAAATTTTGTTCTATACAAACGTATGCTGATGACACACAATTATCATTTCACTTCACATATGCTCAGTTAAATGAAGTGTCGTTTAAAATTAATACTGACCTAATCAATATTACGGATTTTTGTAAAAAGCACTGTCTCAGGATCAATCCTGAAAAGAGTTCAAGTATGCTTTTTTCTCCGAAACACATGTATAATAACATAAAGGACGCAATTGTACTCATTATGAATAACGAGCGCATCCCCATGGTAGAACATTCTAAAAACCTGGGTGTTATCTTGGACTCTAACTTGAAGTTTGATAGGCACATCGGTTACCTGTCTCAAAAAACATATGCCAAATTAAAACTTTTATATTCCAACCGTTTCATTTTAAACTTTAAGACTAGGAAAAAATTAGTTGAAAGCTTGATCCTGTCATCTTTGCAACATTCTCTGATTTTATTCTATTCTTATTTGGATTCGTCGGATCGGTATAGACTACAAAAAATTCAAAACGGCTGCTGCAGGTTTGTGTTTGGACTTCGTAAATATAGTCATGTCTCTTCGAAGATTAAAGATTTAAATTGGTTAAAGATGGAATCACCGTACATTTTAGAAAAGCTAGTACCAAGAGGTAACATTAATCAGAGAAATCTCAGACACAACCTAAATTTTGCGATGCCAGTCCACTATACGGCCCTTTTCCAGAAAAGCTTCACATTTCATGCTGTCAAGTTATACAACTCTACAGATAAAATATGTCGCAGTAAAACAATAGTGCCTTTCAGGAGACTCGTTAAGAAACAGCTGATGGGATATTAATAGTGTGCATTTGTTTCTTTTTCTTATTATTACCTTTGTTTGTTTGTGTATCGAGTGTTACTCTTTCGTACACAGTGAGGTTAAGTGTAAGAGTAGCCATTTGGCTAAACTTCGCCTCACTGATGTATTCTGATTAATAAAGACATTTATTATTATTATTATTATATACCCTTTGTGAGGCTGAACATGTTTTTTGTCAAATCTTGTGACTATATGTTCATAACACTACGCATTGTATTAAGGAAGATGAAGTGAGGAAACCTGATTTTGTACTTTTCATGGATTATGGGCTCGAACTTTTATCACTGGGTTTTAGTATCAGCACCACATTTAGATATATCTTGAAGGAGTGTAAAAGCTTTATAACTTTGATGGAGTCGAAGCAGTGGTGTGTAGTAACAGGAAAACGGCTTTAATTCAGACATGGTTACTTCCGACGCCTATACGCGAGGAAGTATTGTAATCGGGAAAAATGAGATAATAGTATGTTATATGACATGTACACATCACGAAGCACCATGTCACTAATTTCCGTCGACCTGTCTGTCGGTCCGTTCTTGGTCCGTCTACAAGTATTTCTCGGATTTGGATGCAATTCCCACACAAGGTTACTACTATGCCAAAAACGAGGCAGCTTAGTAGCTTTTGAAGATCGGTCCAGTATTGGCGAAGAAAAATGCCAAAAACGAAAAAAATAAGTGCGGCTTAGGCTTCGTTTTTTGGCGTTTCAGAGGTGTCTCATGGTTTCTGAAACATTTTTTCACCCGTAGTGATTCTACGTACCTAGTAGACATCACAGATCTACCCGCTCATTTGCTCTCAAGCTTAAAAATCTCTTCAGCAGACGGCTCGGTACTCGATTCCGTGGGGTTATATTATCTAGTATAGTACGATAGCATATAAGTACGTGCCAAGAGCTATTATAATCAGATATCAAATATTTTTGACAAACATTTTTGCACCAGGGCTCCCGAGAAATAAAGCCCAAATAGTACACTAATGGTTCTGACAAAACCTACGCCCTTTTGAAGCCATTGTACTATATCCACTTCGAAGTCATGGGAAGTATCAAGTCAATCTGCTTGACGGCATCTTTTTGCAGTGATAGCTTGTATGCAGAGAGCGGTGGCGATACGCACAAAAATACTAATTCCATTTCACATAATAGAACAAAGATTGCATGACTGAGCTAGCATAATTAGGAGGTTTTAGTTTAAAATTTCAGGGACCATTTGACTCTAAGTCAGCCAGGCAGCCTGTTTAATCTGTTGGGTTAACGTTTTTGTAGAGGAAAGTTGCTTAATTTTGGATACTTTTTTAATTCAATTTTCTGAGTCGAAAAACAACTTGTAATAATTTGTTTGGGCTTAAAATGTGCTATTACTTAAATAAAGACACTTCATGTATACTAAAACATTTATTTTACAAATAAACTAAAAATAGGCACATGTAAAAAATGGCGCCCTTTCAAATAAAACAAAAAGTCTCACAAAATTGTATACCCTATCCAATCTTAGGAACCTATTTTTCCGAACAAAAATCGCACACACAAGCTTTGTCACTACCAGCACAGTCTTCGTGTGACCATCTGAAATTGTTCTACCTAGTTTTATCCATATTGGTCTCCGGAATAACGTGCAGTGCAGAAATTACACTCTGCGTCACTCTCTTGATCGGCATCCATATCTGAGTCATAAGGAATATATTCTAAAGACTCGGAGGAATTACTTTCGTTTTCTACTTTCTTTAGTTTTATACAGGGTGACTTTGAAGTTGAGTCATTAATTTTCAGATAATGATTGTAGAAGGAAGATAAACCAAAATATGTGTGTAAAAATAAAAAAAAATAAAAAAAAATTTTTACCTTGTTTTATAAAGTATCCTCCCGACAAGTATTTCAGTGCGGACCTGTATTTGATCGTGAGGTCCCCTGTGAGGTCTTAAGTCACCTGATTCACGAGCCCGTTGTACTACATTAACAAAGGCACGAGGGGTTGGTTGCACTCGATTGGGAAACCGATCCGCATAAACATGTGCCATTTTTTATTTCGTTTGAGCCACGCAACAGACACTATTCACACGCGACACTGACAGTGACTGTATGTATAACTGAACTGAATAAAATAATAAACTGTACACAAACATCGTTCCAAATTCCTTCGCTTTTTTGTTTCCGATGCGATGAACCGGTAAGGCGGATTATATCCGTTGTTGCCAAACACGAGCACATGATATTGAGACAGGGCGGTACTCAAACTTCCAAAGGGCTATAACTTTGTTACTTTAATTTTACCAGAAAAATGGTA